AAGCGTCGTGCACCTTGAAAGACCACGTTTGATCCCAATACGTTGGAACAATTTTGGAGCGTATTAGGCGAACGACGTGAGCGAGCAGTGGTGTACAGAACAAACACCGGAAGCGTCGAATGTAGCAAGTGTAGACAAGACAAGTGCGAGCATTTAGTAGCCGTGAACGACACGGAACCCACCGAAGTGTCTCGTGGCCCTGGAATTAGCCGCGAGGTACATTGAAATGAATAATGGCATGGTTAATTCTAGCATTGAAATGAATACCAGTAATGGCATTGTTAATTCTAGCATTGAAATGAATAATGTCATGGTTAATTCTAGCATCTCAATGCATTATGTAGACACCGAACAGTGAAAATACAAAGCGAGCATACGGAACGGGGAAAATCCCGTACAAGACCGACGCTCTTCGCAACCATTAAAGCACGTCCTGCAGACTGCAGACCAAACCGGAGCCATCTTTTTCCCTGACGCCTCAGCCACGAAGTGCGGGTGTTTCGGTGCATGCAGCTGTGGCGTCGCTTGTGGTGGTGCATGTGAGTGGGATTAGGATGGTGCAGCCATGTTGCAAATGAACACGCCTTGCGACGTACTTGTCATGAAAGTCAAGTGCAAGCAATGCGGGCGGTGGATGTTCTGGACGGGGGAGAACAAGGCGATTTTTCGTTTCAGCAAATCAACGGCTGTTGTGCACGAATTGTTGTACAATGAATTAAGCTACATTGAGCATGGGACGGTACGTAGAAAGTCTTGCGTGCATTATTCAGTAGTTATGAATAAGGCATAGGTACCCTTCAGTGTACTTTTCGCGAGTATTTCAAGCCGATACACGATGTTCGATGGGGAGTTTGTCAGTCGTCAAACCTTAATTCATACGTCTTGGGCTTTTATCGCAGCCATCGACATGCCATTCCACGAGGACTTTTCGTGACCGAACTGCGGTCAGTTGAGACTGATGGGAATAGTGCTCACATGCTTAACAGTTAGACATGTGAGTTACCCAGCGAGGTCTGTTAGACCTGTGCAGATTGGACATATATGGGCTGTAAGTTGTACAGCGAGGTCTTTCCAGATGGCTACGTTCAATTCTTCAATATGCTTGCCCTCAGTCTTGTATTTCCCCGGGCGGCACAAACTCGACTCGGCCGTATGTCGCATTGGGTTCCATTCTCTTACGCCAAACATTCCTTCATCGACCAACAGAATGCGTCCTCCGCTCTTGCGTCTCAACAAGACGTTGGAGCTGTGCCAAAACGTCAAGTCGCAAAGCTCGTGTTCCCCATCGAGTTCCATTCACTTCCACCAAAACATTACTTAATCAACGAGACAATTGAATTGAGTTTGTTATATCAAGAAAACCCAGCAGACACTTGGACTACACAAACCCCTACACGGGCTTAGTCGCACAATGCAGACCATTATCTTCATTCGTTTATACCCTGTCAATATCCCCAATTGTTCTTAAAGAGAGCGATAGCTCCTATGGTCGAATATTCTATGTGTTTGCAGGCAGTTTCTATGCCCCACATGACCTCTCTACTCGGATAGTACAACTTCGAGTTACCCTTATGTATCATCTCCAGCAAACTAGCTGAATATGATGCTCGTGCTCTACATCTCGTGACAGCATCAGCATGACAACCTTGTCGTCTACGGGGAGATTCAGGTCGTCGTGCGTCTAATGCAAGGCCTCTATCACATTAGTCACACCGGCTTTCGATAAGTATACTGCTCAGTGAACTCAAGATGGGGTAAAAACTAGGACGACAGGAATACTGCACGATGTGTACTTTGGTCTCACGTTTCCATCATCCATGGACTGACCATTTTCGAGATGGCGACCAGGCGGCGGACTAACAGTTCACCGCCTGATACGCGCAGGATCTGCATACCACTTCGTGTCCCTCGAAAGCAAAGCTCCATACTCCTCTCCAACTCAGTGACCTAGAGTCTTCCTAGATGGAGGTTTATCGTTCGTCCCCCAGTTCACATGCTCAAGACTTTGATCGAGGTGGTCCGGGTTCAATCCCTTCAATGAATACTCGTTTTTCTGAGATGAACGTATTTGATTTTGTATCATGACATTTGTTTTACAGTTAATAATAACAATACTTCGAAGTAATACTGTAATTTCCTGACATTATTTTTACTACAGTACCACTGTCCTGTATAAGGTGCCTGCAATTACGTCGAGGATGTTGATGTCGACGTAGTGAACACCCACATGCAACTCAACTACGTCGGAGATTACGTCGCATTGACAAACTCGGCCACGAGGGTGATGTCCATGGACTACACTGCCTTGTCCAGAAGCCACACGCAGCCCACGACCAGCGTGAACGTGAGCACGAGCAGCAGTGCCGGGAACATGCGGTGGATGCGGCGCGAGTAAAAGTCGGCGTACGTGAGTGAGCCCTTGACGTTTTCCTTGAAGAGGATGCCGGAGATAAGGTAGCCAGCGATGACGAAGAACACGTCGACGCCTGTAAACCCGCCATTGATCGAGAGCGGGTACGCGTGGAACAGCACCACGGGAACTACCACGAACGTCTGTAGCCCGTCGATGTCGGGCCGGTACTTGATCGGGTAGTTACTTGGTTCCGGAGTGTTGCTGTTGGATATTAAGTACACTTGCTTTGAAACTATCAACCTTTGTTACTCGTTAGTCTACACTCGCAACTACAGCTATCTACACAATAGATGAGCTCAGTTCAGGGTAAATGTTAGAGTGAGGAACCTCAAACCGCCGACCATCCTAGCCCATAAATATGCAACCCTGCAACACTGCGACACTTCAACGTGCGTGCTTGCTTGCCATCACAAGTGTAATTCCATAATAATACAGTACTAATCAAAGTAAAGTACCCATATCTAACAGTTGCTTCTCCGGCGAGCTCTGCTAACGTAGTACAGTGTAGTTCAATTAATTCTTGATTCTACCATCTCCTGCGCCTTCCTCTGCGCACGCTCACAAATGTCTTGCCCGGGTTCTTGAACTTGCCCGACCATCAACCGTCCTTGCGCACGGTATGCGTAACACTATTTTTGATTCGGCTGATATGAGCGAGCTCTACACACAGATGATAGTGTGGACCAACCACACTAATTTTCAATCAACACTATATATTCCAATCCACACTAAATGTGGTTGACGGTGTATACATTGTTAGTTTTTGTGTGCGCTGAACATGGAAAACAAGACATCGTTTTCTTAGATTTTCCTTACGCATCCACAACGCTACATATATTTTCGTATCAATCAACCCTATTCCCACAACAAGCACTTCTTGGACGGGTTCAAATACGAGTCGGTGGGGCACTGGAACACACGAGCAAACTCAGCGTTGTTTCGCAACGCCCCTGTCACGCGGTACCGAAAGGGTGGGTACTTCGTCTTCAAAATCGCGCGGAGGTAGGCATCCGTGCTCTTGGAGCACCAGGCTTGGGCGTATGACAAGTAGAACAATTTGTCGCCTGCTTCTTCCGTGTACTGGGACGGGTGTTCCTTCAAGTACTCGTGGTACGCGCGGAAACTGGTCTTGAGCCCTCCGTTGTCCGCAATATTTTCGCCCAAAGTGATATTGCCCCTGATTTTGCCCAACACAACGCCAGTCACTTCGCTCGTGACGACTAAGTTGGCGTACTGGTCGCTAATGCACTGGGCTTTCGTCTTGAACGCATCGTTGGTGGCGTTTGACCACCACTGTTTCAAGTTGCCGTCGCCATCGTAATTGCGGCCGATGTTGTCGAACCCGTGGGTAATTTCGTGTCCGATGAACATCCCGATGGCACCAAAGTTCTGGGCGGCGTCAAACTGGCGGTCAAAGAACGGTTTTTGTAAAACGCCAGCCGGGAACACAATTTGGTTCACGTATCTGTTGTAGTACGCGTTCACTTCATGGGGGGCCATGTTGAACCTGCGCCTGTCCACAGGTTGACCGTTCAGCTTCAAGTTGGTGTCGATGTTCACTTGAGACAGCTTCCACCGGTTGTTCAAATACGACTTCGAGTCCAGCGTCAGCGTGGGGTACATCTGTGGCTTCTCCGGGCCACCCAACAAGTGTACAAACTTGGACAGCTTCGTTTGCGCGTTGGCGCGAGTCGAGTTGTCCAACCAGTCGGCGTTGGCAATGCCAGTGGAGAAGGACGACCTCAAGGCTGTAGGGAGTTGATAACGCAGAGGAAATTGTAAAACTGATTGATTGGCGTTATCTACATCTACATGCATGACTACTGTGACTATACTATATCTAATGCTATATATACGTGCGCTCTGCAGAAGGAACTTCTGGTGTCCATGGCCGAGCACGCCGCACGCCAATCGAGCTTGGTCGTAAACTGACGTCAACAGTGACGTCTG